CATTATTATTTTCATTATCAATGATAATGCTGCTGTTACTACTATTAGTAATGATAATAATAGGAATGTCATTGTTGTTATTATCATTATTAATGATAATGATACTACTATGATAATTATAATAATGATGTCATTATTATCATTAATATTGTTATTATTATTACTATCACCATTAATATATTCATTACTATTATCATTATCATTATTGTTATCATTATCATCATCATTATGAGTCATTGCTATTGTCATTATGATACTACTACTAATAATAATAATTATTATTATTATTATAATGATGTTATGATGATGATGATAGTAATAATAAGGGTGATTATGAGAATAATAATAATGGTAATGATAATAACAATAATGACATGACAACAGGAAAATAATAATTCTTACTAATACTATTACTGATTACAGTGCTAATACTCACATAAACAACTACGACAACAACAGTGGCATTGCTGAAACAAGAATGAGCAAATCCCTTCATTCCATTTCTACCTCAACAGGAATCGAGGAGATGGAAATCCGCTTGCTGATTTGGGCGCTGTGTTGCGCGCTTCTGCTCTGGATTCTGCGAGTGTCTGTGGGCCTCGACCCGCCTCCTCGCGTGCCAGGTGCACAGGAGAGTCGCCAGCCAGTCCCCGTGAGAGAGATTTATTGTAAAGAGTATGTATATCATAAGATTGTGAGACGATACAGTTTCCTTGTGTTACAGTGTGTCAGCGGCCCAACATTGGCGTTGCGTTTCCCGAAAGCCTAAAAAGTGAACTGAAATACGATTTGCTCGACGGCCATTTCTTGCAGAGGCGCTGTCCCGCAGGCCAATGAAACCGAATGCCCAGGGCTGGTCATGTTGTCGTCCTTGTTCGCTCATCTCCCGGCCGTAAGAACAAAGTATTCTTCGGAATCGCAACACTTAGTCCGTTTGATAGAAGAACTGAAAAAGGATATAATGGTGCGAGGAGTAACTAAAGATCACTGGGGATTAGCAAGAAAGGTTGGTATGATACATGCGCTGCATTTTGGGCTTTGTCGGTCTCCCTGCGCAAGCTGTAACAATATGAATATCACAGGCAAGGTACTTTCGTTGAAAAAAGTTAGGTCCTGTTTCCCCAGTCAGAGTGCGCGTTCAAACCACCGCACTTCAGTTCACAGTATAGTAGATAGAGTGCATGAGGTTGTTTGTGGGAGGACTGTTGTCACTATCCTCACTAACGATGGTAAGGACAGAAGGGTTGTAGAGTTATATAGAAATAACAGCGCGCTTGATGCAGTTACATCACCATTACCGTAGTCTTGCAAATTTAGAAGTGCATTTCACAGCTGTTAATCTTGCATATATTAAACAAGTCTTACTTTTATATTTGATCTGCCCCCTTTAATCCTGTTCATTGGTTTTATGTGCTATATCGTGCCACCCCGTCATGCACATTTTTATAACAGTGCATCCAGGGGCACAACGATTCTAGAAATTTATGTATCAAGTACAACAGTTATACTAAAGCCAAATATTTGCGAAACCAAATTTACCCTTATCGTAACTTATGCTTGGTAACCCTACAGGAGGAAAGTGGAAATATTTTTGCAGCAATATATGACCCAATGGTGACTATCGAACAGTTACACAACAATAAACGGCAGAATATTTGTAATTTGATTATCAACCAATTTCCAAACTCTGACTAGGCTCTACTTTCGAGAGAGAGGGGGGGGGAGAGGGGAGAAAGAGATAGAGAGAGAGGGGGGGAGAGGAGAAAGAGATAGAGAGAGGGGGGGGGAGAGGGGAGAAAGAGATAGAGAGAGAGAGAGAGAGAGAGAGAGAGAGAGAGAGAGAGAGAGAGAGGAGAGAGAGAGAGAGAGAGAGAGAGAGAGAGGAGAGAGAGAGAGAGAGAGAGAGAGGAGGAGAGAGAGATAGATAGATAGAGAGAAGAGAGAGAGAGAGAGAGAGAGAGAGAGAGAGATAGATAGATAGATAGAGAGAGAGAGAGAGAGAGAGAGAGAGAGAGAGAGAGAGAGAGAGAGAGAGAGAGAGAGAGAGAGGGGAGAGAGAGAGAGAGAGAGAGAGAGAGAGAGAGAGAGAGAGAGAGACAGAGAGAAAGAGAGAGAGAGACTAAATTTAGAAGGCAGTTGGCTAGCATTATTTGGAAACGCCAGGAACATGACTTAGTGATCGCAATCCTGAGAACGACTGACTCCGTCCCTCGCTTCCAGTGGGCCAGTCCCACCTCGCTGGTTCCCGAGCCCGCGCCCGGCCTGGGGGACATCCTGGCTGCCCTGTCCAGCGCTCCGGTCACGTCGGCTGCAGTTGCGACTGGAGGATCGCAATTCAAGATTATACTTCGGCTTGAAGGAAACCAGAAAGTCATGTTCATACCCAAGCTGTAACTATACACCGACTCTCCTTTAGAATTAGTTAACAGGCAGGAAGGCTTCTTGTTTTACCATACAGCGTGCATAGTCTTCCAGAGCAGAGTTTCCATCCCGTGCTTGCCATAGACAAGGGCTACTTATGTATATAAATAAGCCAACGTATTCAAATTCGCTAAATCTCAATACAGGGGATGAATAAAGAGCAGTGGGTATTACTTTGAAAATATAGTGATGAGTTAATGACCCGAAGTATTTCAGTATGAGTCTTGGCTCTTTGGATTCGATAGATATTACAGGATTTCAAAGTTTGCTCACCAAATCTTGATTATCTTTCAATTTTGCCAATAAAATCATTCTTTTCAGATATTCTCTCGACCGCGTAATTATAGGAAAGAACAGAGGAGGTGACAGGTTTAATGGAGAAATCGCCGCCTTTCACCTCAGCCGCCTGTTGGGGCTGCAGATGGCGCCCATCGTCGCCGGGCGCACGGTCTCGCTGGAGAAGATCCTCCCCGTGGCGGCGGAAGAGCTCGCCAAAACGTTTTTCAAAAACAAACGTTCGTATCAAGTATTTACCCTGTCATGCTGCTTTTTCTTAGCCCCGCCTCCGGCCCCATTCTCTCTCTGTACAAAGCATATTCTGTACGATGTATACATTCATATATATATATATATATATATATATATATATATATATATATATATATATATATATATATATATATATATATATAGATATAGATTTATAAATCCATCCATCCATCTATTTAACCATCCACCAATCCATCCATGCACATATTCATTTGCCCATCCATACATTCAATTATCCATCCATCCATCAATACATCTATCTATCAATTCGTCTATCCATTCATTCATCTAGCCATCAATTCGTCTATCCATTCATTCATCTATCCACCCATCCATATATTCACCAATCCATTCATTTACTTATCCACCAATCCATCCATTTATCTATCCACCTATCCATCTATCCACTCATGTATCCATCTAATTAATTATCCATCCGTTTATCCATCCACCTATCCATCTCTATATCCATCCTTTCACATCCTTTCATCCATACATACATCCTTACATATTTACGTGCATACAAAGATTTATAGATGGATACATAGCGAGATGAATAGATAAGTAAATCGGTAGATACGTATATAGTTCGGTAGATAAACAGCTATCAATATAGATACATATACATACATATATACATGCGTACATACCTAAGTAAATATATGTACATGCATATGTATGTATACAAGGTAAATCTGGAAGGAAGATATAGAATTTCAGTAAACAAACATGAAATGCTACTAAAATGGAAGAACAACATGCAAACCAATCAGGGAAGTCAAATTCAAAGCGCGGAAAGACATAATTACGTCATAATATTAGAAAATAGGTGCCGAAATTTGTTCCTCGCAGTCCCCTTCGTCGCTTCTCGCCAAAGTCAATGTAAACAAACCATGTAATTCAGAAGATGGCGCTCAAGAAAGTAGTGCGTGTGCTACTATCTATCGTTTGATAGACATTTACGCGTAATTTCAAGTTGATTTTCGATACTTGCTCTCCAAACGATATGAATTACCACCATATTAATTAATTTAACTAATTTCTATAATCTATTCATATTTTACGCTCTTCAAAATTTGGTGTGATATTGTATGGCGCATTGATACGCTTCACCAGTAGGCGTGTCGTCGTCGTTATTTCTGTGGGAAATTTTGGCTCATCTTTGCGATAAATGAGTTTTCTTTACAGTTTTACAATGAGAGCTGGTGTGGGAGACCTATGTATGGTCCCCACCCCCCCTAAAACCCCAAATTCCTCACGTGTCTCCCAAGATCGTAGGGGAATAGGGGGGGGGGGATATAGGAAAAAACGAACATTCCATCTCTACAATTACCGTCCGCCCCTAAATTTACCACCCACTAGGGAGTGGAACGGGTTTCGCTTCCGCCACCCGCTATTTGTCACTTTATGAATAGGGAATCTTTTGCTTAAAAGGAAAAACTTTACTCGTAGAGACTTTTGTAGTTGTGATGTAGCAAAAAGCTACGTCATTCTTGGCTGAAAGGTCAGCCTCTTAGTGGTGGCCATCATCCACAGCGACGTCGCTCGTCCCGGACATGGGTTGCCGCCATCCGTCCAGACGAACCAAGGCGGGAATCGCCATTCTCTGGAGCTGCGTCCTCCAGCCACCCGAAAGTGAGCCGGACGCCGCTCGCTCTCGGTGCCGCCGGTCGCGAAGTCCTCCGCCAAGCGTCCTCTTCTCTTATCCGAGAGCAGCCAACGCTCACCTGTCGGGGCCAACGGTCAAGGGGAGGCCGTGGCAAGGGCCCCCACTCATGCCTAGGTGTCTCGTCCCCCGCAGTCCAGAAGTCCGGCACGATGCTGGCCGGCGCTCCCCAACTTGAAGAGAAGGGGGATGAAGAAGGCACCGTAGAAGGGTCCGCTTCCTGCCGCGCCAAGGGGCGAAAGGACAGTTCCGGCAGATTCCCAGGAGAGCCGGGACACTCTGCCTAGGACGCTAGCGAAGCTCCCCGTCACACCATTGGAGAACCGGCGCCCCACGAAGTAAAGAAGAGCAACACGAGCCTGAG